GAGGGGTAACTGGGACAGAATCCGGCGCCCCGACAGAGACTAGAACCCAGTGTGCCCGTGCCGCAAGGCAGAGGATTAGCCTAGTGAGCCGTGGCGCCAGCCTCATTATCAATTAAAACCAGTCCCCATGTTTAAAATTGCATGACTCTCCATCTGTTTTCCCATAATCATATGAATGTATTGCCTAAAACAGGTTTTCTTCTCAAAAACATTTAACAGTCTCTTTTCAACAAAACAAGGTCTATATCATTTATATTAATATTCAAGCAATTCACAAAATAACACCAATCAGTATCATTTCTTGCTGTGTCCTAATACTGCCAGTATTGCTACAAAAATGTTAATTATTGAGCAATTACTAATATAAGCAATTTATATGTATAATCTTCTGCAATAATACATAAAGTATTAAGTATTATTTTCTGTATTTACAAAGGAAAACTGAGGCAAAAGAAGTAACTTGCCTAAAGTCATAGTTAGTAAATAGTGAAGTCAAGCTCTAAACCCAGATATCTAACTCTAGAATCTGTGCTCTTAACCACTATGTCATATATCTCCCTAAAATAGATAGGAATAAAGTTAACCAATAGGATAAAAGGTATATAAACTAAAAATCATAAAATATTGCTGAAAGAAATTTAAGATACAAATAAATGGAAAGACATCCTGTTTTAATGAATTAAATGACTTAATGTTATTAATTGAAATTACAACAGATCTACAGATTCAGTGAAATTTCTATCATGAATGCCAGTGATGTTTTGGAAAAAGGAACCAGTTCTACCAATACCTTGATCCTGGGCTTTTAGCCTCCAGAACTGTCAGATAACAAATTCATGTTGTTTAATCCAGCAGGTTTGTGGTACTTGATTATGACATGAAAATTTTTATGAAAAACTGTGCATGGATTTCAAAATTTTTTGCACCAAAATACTGACATTTTCATCCCATGTTTCCACAAACTTTCTAAAGTATCCTGGTAGCTAGGTGATAGATAATTATTCAGTGTTAACAGGGAGTGAAGTTCTGATACATGCTACAATATGGATAAACCTTGAAAACTTTTTGCCAAATGAAATAAGCCAGACTCAAATGAACAAACCGTATGGTTCCACTTTTATCAATTATTTAGGATGGGCAAGCCATAGAGTCAGAAGAAAAAGTTTACCAAGCAAAACAGTGGAAAGAGGAGTAAGGAGTTAGTGCAAAATGAGTAATGATTGTTGTTTGGGATGATAAAAAAAAACTTTGGAAATGTGTATTCATAGGTTGAATAGCATTTTGAAAGTGCTTAGTGCTATTAACATTTAAAATGGTGAAAATGGAAAACTTCATTACATATACTTTACTACAACTTTTTAAAAGATTTTTTTAAAGTCTTGGGGCTGGTGCTGTGGCATAGTGGGCTGTCTCCGCCTGTGGCACTGGCATCCCATATAGGGGCCAGTTGGTGTCCTGGCTGCTCCTTTTCTGATCCAGCTCTCTGCTTCTGGCCTGGGAAAGCAGTGGAAGATGGCCCTTTCTCTCTCTCTCTCTCTCTCTCTGCGCCTCTCCTTCTCTCTGCGTGTAACTGACTTTCAAGTAAATAAATAAACCTTTAAAAACAAAAAGTTGTTGAATGAGTTATGCATCTACTATTTTGCACTTAAAAGATCCCAAGGTTCTCCGGAGGAATTAACAAACCAAACTGTTGAATTTCTAAAAATTAGACTACTATCTCTCTGCCAACTGAATTACCTATCTCACATCTACTAGCCACCTTGGCAATTAGACTGCATTCCTCACCCCTTGTACCTCTTTTACTAAAGCTCCCGGTGTTGAGGAGGGGAGGGGTCACAATATTAAAGCTGATCCTGACTTCTCTTGCATACCTAAAGAAATCCTTTACTCTCTACTAGACCATTTTCTAAACCTTGACCAACAGGAGCATATCTGTCATTCTGACATAAATACATAACAGCTCCCTTGTCCTCCATGTTTCTCCTTCTCATTAATTCCTCATCGAGCACTAGCCCGCTTTCTCATCCTGGTTAGCATCTCTCAAGATTCCTTGACTTTAATGCTGTCAAACCCTGAAGCTGGGTATCAAGGGAATACAGTCAGTAAATTATTTATTCTGCCTAAATTTATTTAATATTCCATGTCCAAGATTGGTGGTGAGTGTATATGTTTAAGATGCTTTATCATTAGCTGCAGGTAAAGAGGTCATGTTGAAAAAAGTATAAATCATTGGTAAATATTATTTTCTACATGTTTATTTAACTTCAATCAAGTAAAAAATTAGTAGGATCAGTTTTACTGAAATTTTATTCACCTATTTATTTTGATGTGACTGTGATCAAAATGAAAGGGTATAAATATGTGCTGAAGAGATGGGGATAAAGAGATAAGAGGGAGAGAAGCAAATGAGAATGACCCAAAGTTAATCATGCATCTAGCTGCCTACCTTATCCTATACTGAACTTGCAGCATTTCTTCTGTGGCACAACTTTTTGCTGAAATTTACACAGATGTAGGCAATTATGCCTTCAAAACTTGAAATTTGGCTTCCAACACAGTTTATCCCATTGTCTACACAGATGCCATTTGAGTGAGAATTGAGGAAATTCAAGAATTTGGAAAACGGTAAACTCCATCAATGGCAGAGCCTTTTTGAGTTCATAAAGTTTAAAAAAAAAAATGAACTCTTTGGTAGCTTTGGTGTGTATTCACAGGCTGATTTGTCAGACTTGCCAATCAGTGTCTCTGGCTTCTGTATGTCCTTATCTTCCTCTCATTCTCCTTCTTTTTCTAAGAGCAAGGTCCCTGCAGTGAGTGGGCTCAAATACCAGGTGACTGAGGGGGACAGACTTCCAACTCTGTGGCCAGCTAGCCCTGAACCTACAAGCAGCTGCTTTTCTTCTCCCCAAATGTGATTCAGAGCTCTTAGACTTGAGTAGAGGAAATAATAGTGCCCTGAAGATGTCTTCAACATAAATTGACACTGGTTCTCTAAGAACAGTGTGTCTGGGAGGTAAATGGCTCAGGAATGAAAAGAGAAGTCTGCCTAGAGTTCTGTCAGGTGCTTTCAGGCTGCAGACAGCTTTAGAAAACTAACAGGCCAGACTCAGATAAGGAGATCAAACAGAAGCTTTAGAGTGTGCTGGCTGAAGACAGCAATAGAAAAATCTGACGTTGACCTTCTGGGTGTTTCTGTTTCACTAGAGCAATGCCATCACATACCAAGAAATTGGTTTTACAAAAGGCGTATTTTAAACTCGGCTCCCCAGATTCCAGAGGAAAGTTCTTCTCTGGTGCTTGCTTTAGGAAGGTTAAGAAAAGGCAAAAGGGAGAGTGAAACAGATGTATTTCCATGATGAGCCAAGTTCATTTCCTGTCTTTCCAGATCTCATGCCTGTAAGAGTAGGGAAGCATTTAGTTTACAAGGGGTGGGAGTCAAGCATTTTCCCTTATCCAGGGTTCAAATCTGGAATTGGTGAGTTTCAGGAAAATAAATACAAAAGTGTTTGTATATAGCTACTTATACTTTATTTGGTTGGTAGGTTTTGCAAAACATCCATTGCTTTCCTTAGATTATCAGAGAGGTCCATGGGCCAAACCAGCCTAAAACTGTTGCCCTCGATCTTACCTTATTTCACCTTCCCCTGTCTTCAAGGACAGAGACCATGAAAGTAGAGACCAAGTGGGGGAAAATTAATCCAACCTGTTGACAAATTCTCTGAATAAGTAAACTGGTAACCACCCCATTGATTCCTTCCAGAATGACATTATATCAACCTCTTATAGAATAAATGAAAAATGAAACAGCACCCTCTACCACTCCATCCCCATCCCAGCATCCTTTATTCCCTTTATTTTACCTAAAGCGTTTCATAACAATATGCTCCTGTGTCACTGTCCCTCTCCAGTAAGAAGGGACTCAGTTTGCTCATTCATCTTTGGAAGGACTCGTCATCTCATCTACTCATTCCAGACAAAAGAAGATTGAATAGAATTACCAGTTGAGTCCATCCTGCTTTTGTTTCCGTTCTTAAAAATGCTTAAAAGGATTATTATAATCCAGCACTATATAAAGCCATTAGAAAAAGATTGAGGTAATTGAGCTTATCTTAGCGTACATACCTAAGTGCCAAACTATAAACAGTATCCAACTCTACTGCCAGATGTGGAGGATTGGTGAAATCTTCAGGTAGGAAGGGATGACGGAAGGACGAATTTCTGTCTAGACTGTTTCTACCGCTATTTCTGCTTTTTTTAGTTTCATTGTCCACCATTTTCCCACTATTCAATTCCTTATATCAGCGCTAATATAATAATTGTAAGCAATTATCTTTTTTTACTCACCTGTAACTTTTCAAAGTTCGTGCTTTATTCAGAAAATCATAAGCTTAGTATTACAAAAATAAAGTTTTTCCTATATTGAAAATATTTGAGAGTGATGTTTAAATTTTCTTATAAGAGACATGCATACCTGTGACATCAGGTGTAGACCAAGAGTGTCACAGCCAAACTGGAACCTAAGGTCCTTACATCCTTATAGAGTCACAAACTGCTAAGTGACTCACTGTCCTCCAACACATATTTTACCTGTATCACCCACCTTGTGTTAGAGCTCTTGTCCTGCTAGGATGGTAATGGTAGAAGATGTTTTGAAGGAGGAAAGTTAATAAATTCCAACTTAAGCACTGCATTAAAAAGAAAAATTGCAATTTTACAGAAGTCATGAACTCTCCATGTTGCTTGTCAACCCATTCCTTTGTTGCAGACAAGTTAGTTTTTGTTGTTTGACCACCTCATGTTCATTCACATGTACAGTAGACTGTATTATAATTAATTCCATGCTTTTTACCCATAAATTGCAAACAAGCTCAGGAATCCTTCAAAAGTTGTATATTCAAAAAGATACCCCTTTATTGCCTAATTTACATCAGGATTATCAGAACCTAGCAAAACAACACCAACAGGCAGCCCATGCTCAACATTCTTTCTTCTTTCCACAGATTCGAAATGTGGCAGCGAACCTCTGTGTGGACAGCAAGCATGGAGCCACAGGAACTGAGCTAAGGCTGGACATCTGTGTCAAGGATGGCTCTGAAAGGACATGGTCTCATGAACAGGTATGTCAGCCCCCGGAAGCCACCACCATGGGGCCAGAAGGGGCTGAGGCAAACATGGAGGGACACAGCAGGAACAAGTCTCTAGGTGGGTCATAGGAATCTGGAGTAAGGTGGTCATTCTGCCACCAACTAGCTCTGTAGTAAGTGAATCACTTAACTTCTCTGTTTCTGTTTCTCTTCAGGGCATTTGCAATAATCAAGAAAATTTGTCTAAATATAAGCACTTTAAATAATAGAAAGGATAGTAGAAATATTGATTGTGACTCTGCTCCTTCCCAGATTGAGAGTTTTCAAAACATTAAAGGCTGGTAAAATGCTGTGGAACTCTACTAACTAAATCTCATGGGTTTAATGGAGGACTCTGTTATTCTGTGCTAAGGACTTTATCTAAACTTATCTTTCCCCTCTGGCTATATATTGAAAAGAATGCTTTAGGTGGACCTCTTATTGCAACAATATTTTTAGTTGTCTACATGAAGGGTAACTTTGAGGCAACAACACCTCAACCTGGATTTCATGGGAGACCTGTGTTGCTTTTGTCTGGAAAACATTTCAGTACAACTTAGTTTAAGTGAGTTGTGATTTTCAGTCTTTTGTGAAACATGAAAGCCCTTTTAAGGACCTTTTCTTATACTGTTTTATTGATGAAAAAGAAAAGATAGTGGGTAAAATTGTGTCTTCCCCTTTGTAGTGTTTTGTTTTTAAATTATAAAACATTCCAGTAAGAAACTACAGAAAATATCACAGAAGACATTTGTGCACTGATCAAACACATCTAACAAGTATAATGGCTACTGCTATATTGTTTTTTTTATTTATTTTTTTTTTAATTTTTGACAGGCAGAGTTAGTGAGAGAGAGAGACAGAGAGAAAGGTCTTCCTTCGGTTGGTTCACCCCCCCAAATGGCGGCTACTGCTGGCGTGCTGTGCCGATCCGAAGCCAGGAGCCAGGTGCTTCTCCTGGTCTCCCATGTCGGTGCAGGGCCCAAGCACTTGGGCCATCCTCCACTGCCTTCCCAGGCCACAGCAGAGAGCTGGACTGGAAGAGGGGCAACTGGGACAGAATCCGGCGCCCCGACCGGGACTAGAACCCGAGGTGCCAGTGCTGCAGGCGGAGGATTAGCCTAGTGAGCCGTGGCTCTGGCCAACTGCTATATTGTTTTGTTTTGTTTTGTTTTGTTTTGTTTTGTTTTGTGTTGACAGGCAGAGTAGACAGTGAGAGAGAGACAGAGAGAAAGGTCTTCCTTTGCCATTGGTTCAGCCCCCCAATGGCTGCTGTGGCTGGTGCACTGCGGCTGGCGCTGATCTGAAGCCAGGAGTCAGGCGCTTCCTCCTGGTCTCCCATGGGGTGCAGGGCCCAAGCACTTGGGCCATCCTCCACTGCACTCCCGGGCCACAGCAGAGAGCTGGACTGGAAGAGGAGCGACCGGGACAGGATCTGGCTCCCTGACCAGGACTAAAACCCAGGATGGCGGTGCCACAGGCGGAGGATTAGCCTATTGAGTCACTGCGCCAGCGCTATATTGTTTTATGCATAAAAATTAATATAGTCAAAGCCTCTTCTATCCTGTCCCCATCCCTCTCTCTGCAGAAGGAAATATTCCAAGTTCAGAATAGTATGCCTTGTCTGTGCTTTCAGCTTCCCAGAATTGTCCACAACACCTCCCTTATGAAAACCAAAAAGCTAAATAAGCAGTTCTCTGTAAGGCATCACTGCTGTCCTGTAGCCCTATTCCTCATAAGACTGTCTTGTAATTAATCTAGAAACAGCTCACAATGTCCAGCCTAGCACATTAAAGAGCGGTTCGGATTCACTTGGATTGAACATGTTGGTGCTTCCCACTCGCTGCCCACTGCCCCTTCCTGCCCCACCACTACCCTGCATTACAGTGAAGAAAAGTTTGATGTTAGAAAAATAGCACTAGACCAAGTCCACCACACAGTTCAGAGTAGACTCACTCAGTCAACACTGCCTCTCCTCTAACCCCACAGCTTCATGATATTCTAGAAGGATCACGGGCCTTGCAATCAGACCAACCCAGATTTCAGTTTAAACCCAAGTGGTCTTGTGAAATTGTTCAATATTTCTAATACGTAGTTCCTCTATCTTTAGTTTTTAAAAATATTTATTTACATATTTGAAAGGGTTACAGAGAGACAGGGAATCACACATACAGAGAGAGAGAGAGAGAGAGAGAGAATCTTCCAGCCACTGGTTCACTCTCCAGATGGCTACAACAGCCAGGGCTGGACCAGGCCGGAGCCAGGAGCCAGGAGCTCCATCTGTGTCTCCCACATGGGTTGCAGGGGCCCAAACATTTGGGCCATCTTCCAATACTTTTCCCAGGCCATTAGCAGGGAGCTGTATCAGAAGTAGAGCAGCTGGGACACAAACCAGCACCCATATGGGATGTCAGCGTCCCAGGCAGTGGCTTTACCCACTATCCTGAAATGCCAGCCCCAGTTCTTCCATCTTTAAACAAGAACAATAAAACCCACTCACTGACAAAGTTGTTCTGAGAATAAATAATACCTACGATACAACAGTATCTCCCACATATAATAGGTGCAGAATAAGTGCACTTTCCCTTCTGCCTCCTCATACACACCCACAAAACCACTAAAAGCTAATACCAAATTCGAAATCTCTGTCAGGTCCAAGGGAGCTGTGACTTTGACTGCATTCGCCCATTCCCAGCATAGTCACCAAGTACTAGTTATCATTCACTCAAATGCATCCTGCCGTGTGTGCACACGGCAGTGAATTCAGTGAGAAGAACTTGCATTCTGCTTCCTCAGTCTCCTTCTATTAGCACCACAGGGATGTTACCATGGATCTGAGAAATGGTAGGATTGGACTGTTATTTCCAACAAGCAATTCTGACTTCAGCCTGGGAGCAAAAGAGAAGGCTTAAGAGGCTGTCAGTATGACTGGCATCTAAAGTAGAAAGAGATTTTACAGGAAGGGAAAGCAGCAAGCCACGGAAAAGTTTGTCTCTTTTCTCTACCACCTCTATTCAGCCTGACCAAGAAACAAACACATCTAGCCAGCTGGCTGCCATGAAGGTACATGCCTTCATGGCTGCATTAGGTTTTGTATTTCTATCTTTTAATATTTTAAAATGAATTCTGCTCATGCCTGCATATTTTATTTGACAACTGAAAATGAACATAAACAGTGCCTACTATATTGCATACACTTTAAAAAATTGTTGCTTCTTTATCCCACCCAGGCTGAATTGCAAAAATCTACAGCATGTAATTTAAGAAATGGTCACCAGAGAGCAGCACCAGACAAGCAGAAAACACTTCATGGGCAGAACAAAAAAGACTAGCGAATGCAGCTCTTTGAAAAGGAGATTTCCAGTCTCTAGAGATCCTAAAAATAGAGCTACAGGAAGATTAAAGTTTGACAAGACGTGAAAAATGAATTGCATTTGAAACATGTCTTACCATATATTAACTTGTAGGCTAAAACATCACAGGCTGCTTCATTTTCCAGTAATTAACTGTAAGCTATGTTCAATGTTACTCAATGACATAAAAATTAGGATTCATTCCTCTACATTTGGATTAAAATTCCTGGATCAGAAAAGAAGTACATCAGGTTATAAAAATTAGGGATATTCCTCTTAGTTGAAAAGCATTTAAAGAACACAAAAGAAGTGCTTATTAGAGTTGAAATGTTTTTTCTTCTAAAAATAAAACACAAATGAATAAGCAAAACCATCACGTGGGAAACAGAGAGGAACATATTATAGCACCTGGAAAAGAAAATGCCTTTTGTTGTGCTCACTCCGGCAGCACATATACTAGAAAATGCCTTTTGTTGCCGAGCACAAATGATGACTAATCCGGCTTCTGTGAGGGAAGCAAATGTATGATTCATTTTTCCAGGGTGATCTACTTAGCTGTTTGATATCACTGTAGCATCCTGTGCTGGCGCTCAGTTTCCTTTAGGGACCAAGAAAGAAAAATAAAAATAGATCCAAATAAGACTGTAAGGTCTGGAAAGAATAATCCCCAGCTCCCATTATGAGTCCAAGGGCGAGGAGGAGGGCTCTCCCTGGCCTGCTTTGACTGTTCTCCCTCTGCGAGCCCAGCAGCAGGCTCCCACCTCCCGCTGCTCAGGACGGCTTGCTGCAGAGCTTTCTCTGCGGAGGGAGCAAGTGCTCCCTTGCCGAGACCTGAGGGGGGTACACAAGCAAGTCAGTGCATGTGTTGAAAGGACAGAGTCCTTTCCTTGGGAAAAGCAGTCTCACTCTCAGGGGAGAGCATATTGATGGGTATACACTGCAAGAAGAAACATGCTCTCCCTCACATTTCTGCAAAATAATGATGAAACCTAGTAATGAAGTAAAATACAACTAACCGAAGAGGAAAAATATATTTTCAATCATCTCAGTCATACAGCAAGATTAAGATAATGTTATCCATATAATACAATATAGGCAACCTTACACCATTGATTTAAGCAATAAAATAAAAGTTAGCCTTCTAAGTTTACATTTTAAAGTATTGCTGAAAAAGATGGTAATAAAGAAACTAACATTAATTCACTTTATTTTTTAAAAGATCTAACTGTTTTATTTGAAAGAGTTACTGAGAGGGAGAAGCAGAGGCAGAGAAAGAGAACGATATCTTCCATCCACTGGTTCACTTCCCTAATAGCCACAATAGCCAGGGCTGGCACAGGCTTAAGCCAGAGCCAGGTGCTTCATCCAAGTCTCCCACATGAGTGCAAGAGCGCAACAAATTGGCCATCTTCCACTGTTTTCCCAGGCACATTAGCAGGGAGCTGGATCAGAAGTGGAGCATTTCCCTGATTGCTAATGACCTTGAACATTTTTTCATGTGCCTGTTGGTCATTTGGATTTCCTCTTTTGAAAAGTGTCTATTGAGGTCCTTGGCCCATCTCTTAATTGGGTTGTTGGTTTTGTTTTTGTGGAGTTTCTTGATCTCTTTGTAGATTCTGGTTATTAACCCTTTATCTGTTGCAT